CGTGGCCACTACAGGAGCTGAAGGGAGTAAGACAGACTGCCTGCCACAGGCATCCATCGACGACAACTAGGCTATTCGGTTTGGTAACCATACCTGCCGCTGAATTCCCGACAAGGTGCACTTTGGTATTCAAGTGCGGGTATAGCTCAAATATCTTGTTCACGAAGTTAATCCTGCATGTGGACAGTTGAGAAAGCCATCATCGACTTCGGAACATCTGACATGTTTTGTATGAAATCTTCCCATCCCGACTCGACGGCTCCCTTGCTGAATCCCGTCGGAGCAGGCGCATCGACCCAGATACCATTGGCCTGTTGGGTCCACGAGAATCTGAGATGATTGGAACCTTCGAAGTTTTCTGAACATGCCGTAGATCTTACATGTTCTTTTGTAATTTTCCTGAGACATCCATGATGCATGGTCCACTCTGCTGCAGTACTGACGACAAACTGCTGGCACCAAAACCACCCTCGATAAACAAGAAGGTAGGCGCCGTTTGTGGCCCGTTATCGGCTTCTATAACGCTATAGAAGAATCTACGATAGATACATGACACATTTACGAGATCCTGGATCTCCGTTCCACCCACTGGTTGAGTTTGCTGACTTGGATGTAACCAAAATGTTCGTTGCCACCACTGATGGGGCAAAGCGGCCCCTTACTTCCCACTCGCTCGAGGATAGCGATGGATAACAAGAAGAGGATCATATATACGAGGGTGCTGCATAACAGACTTAGCGATTTTGGTTGGACGAGAGCCAATCGCTTGATCGGTAATCCGAGTCCTTGATTCACGCGGCCCACGTCACGTGGGCCACGTGAATCGTGAGGCGTCGGCAGCCGCGACGTATATTATCGATGGATCATTAGCAATAGTGAACAGTAACCGCGACGCATGGACCATGAGTAACGCACATGCCAATCACCTCCCGTGGATTGGTTATTTACGTCACAGTAGGTTTTTCCATTTCCTTCTGGTCCGTTTTTTTCATTCGATGAAAACGACTGAACCAAATGATGAAGACTCTTGGATATGCCCAAGGATGGTTATGTTCCCCTATTTTCACCCTGCAGCGTTCCATGGCACGCATAATTGATCACATGACGAGGTCTTCTCTAAGCTCACTCCTACGGTGAACACAGATCTCGCGACAAAAGTGCGGGAAGAAGCTGGAAGATATTACCATCTCGGGGTTATCAGCTACTTGGCTACCTGATAGGTCTTCCGCGAGCGTTCTTGTGCCCGCACTCTCGCGGGTGGTGGCAAAAAGTGTGATCTCTGCACTGGGTATCTCATTTATCATCTTAGAGAAGTGATGGCAAAGCGGGAAGGTCGCGTGAAAGGGCCTTACAGCGCTGTACTCTACGAGAAGACCCGTTCTACAGCCATCCTTCGCGGCGCCAGCGGCCAGGATTTCCGAGTGTGGGTTGTCAATCTTGTTCGAGTGCCGAAGAAAGACGATTCATGCAATCAGTCTCCCGAAGATGCTTCTCCTATCCCGGACAATGATGTCCACGACAATCCGCCCGGGTCCCTCGACGATCTGCCTGAGGCAGACTGCCCCCTATCACGTTGTTGCCTCTACCTCAATCACCGGTCATAATGACCTCGACATCACATTTGAAATCGCGGTGTCTGTCTGACGAGATCGATGATTATGTTCTCTTTTATTGTCTTTCCTTTTCAATTAATCAACCGTTTTTGCCGCCGGAGAATTCACTTCGTGACGCTCAGCATAAGTGTGACGCTGTCGCAGTGACATTCTGCCTCGCCACGCGACTCGCGTGCATCAGCTGGCGCGTGCCGCGTTATGAATCGCTGAATGTGTAAGACTCGGCGATGGCTGCATGGCGGTAATTATCATGATAAACTCCATCAAACTCAAGTCTCTTATGGCCTTAAGGGGCGTGTATCGAGTCCTTGTAGCATCTCTACGCTAGCTACAAGGAATTGAAGGGGAAATAGATTAGCGTGGCCAACTACTGAAAATGAAGCAACTTTATTGCACAACGACGATGAGTTAGAGCTTTCGGACCCAACCAGTAGGGTATTCTTATGTAAGTAATGAGTGTATTAACGAGGATTCAGGGAACTCATTAGGGTCGTTCAAAAACTCTATTTTATATGCAAGAGTCCGGATAGGTTGCTCCGGCGCGTCACGGCCTGAGGCTACGTCGTTCCCTCCCCACTCCGCCATGGGTTTTTGTTGGGTATAGACTCCACAACCTAGAGTGATCAGCTATTCGGACGATAGCTGCACTGTGAGGAAGTTGTCATGATCACTCGGAATATCAGTCTCCAACCATCAAGAGCTTCTTGCTAAGATGATGCCTCGTCTCCAGCTCAGTGTGATCATCTCTTGGTGAGCGTTGAGGTCATCAGTCCAACGCCAGCCTCCCGACTCTGCGAAGTGGGATCAGGCATGCCGCGATGTAATGCCTGGCCAGGTCACCCACTGCATGTACTACAAGTTTGGGGATGGTGTCGTGTGTCACGGAAGTGAGCCACCCATCCCCCGCGGTCCTGCGAACAGATCTGTCATACCCACATCTTCGATCCCTGTTGTTGACGACTGTGCCGCTCTGAACCCAGCCAGAGGACGGACTATTCGACAGACGCTAGCAGATGATACTATGAAGGACTTCATATGGGGACGAACCGAGGACGTGACCCGATGCCTCAATAATCTCACCATCACCAACTTCGATGCCCTCTTCACTCTCCACAACCTCAAGTACGGCCTGGCTGAGACCTACGCCTTTACTGACATCGCTAATGGCTTGGACGACTCTGTGGAGGTCGACACCTGCAACCTCAAGCTGCATTCTCTTGACGTTGACATCGACAGTTTCATTGATGACAGGATAAGTGAGTATGCCGCCGCGCGAGAGCATCCCAGCGGCCCCTTCTCCCTTTGCTCTACAGCGTCAGTTAAGCCGCTTGAACGATGCTCATACTCGCTATGATACGTCATACAGGGACTTCTACTTCGTGCTTCCAATTCGCTTCGAGTCGTATATGCGTGACGGAGCCCAGGTCGTAAATCTCGGCTTCCCGAATCTCAACGAAATATACTACCCCGGCGTCTATGGCAAGCCTGTTACTGCCCGTAAGGAAGGCGATTTCATCGTTGAAGTTGACGGCAAGCCTGTCCTTCGATCATCGAAGGATGCATCGAAGTTCGAAGGATGCAGGATGCGGTATCCGACTCGGAAGGTCCACTCTCGGAGAGTGGACTTTACTTGGGGATCTACCAGGATCTCCTCCAGAGGCTCAATAACCACTTCTTCCTTAGTTCTGTCGTCGAAAGGAATTTGCTACGATACCAACCACCAACGGGACCACTGAGTGTCACATTCGACGACGGATCCACCGAGGGGTGTATCCCAAGCCGTACAGTTCAAATTCGGCACTTTTCAACTCGGACAATCGGTGAATGCGTTTCACGATTTTCGGGCAGTTCAATTCCGGACAGTTGAAACTGGGGCAGAAACCGGCGACGAAGCCGTACCAATCCGGACAGTGGAAACTGATGCATTGGATTCCTCGCTCACCCTTCGGGCAGTGCCAACTGAGGCAGTACTAAGCGATCCACTCGGCCAACTCAAGGACTGGGTATAGTTAAACGAAACTTCACAAGTATCATCACGATACCATTCAATTATCGACATCACGGTATCACACAATTGTGTGCTCTCGTCAACAAAAAGACTTCACACGTTAGTCATTTATTCAATGCTCAGTCATAGATATCGTTCACGGTGATGAACACTTCATCAGAGGATAGGGTGGAAGCTTGTTGATTCTCAGGCTGAGCTACCTTACCAGGGGACTTGCTCCTTTCAAGAGTAGCGCTACAGCTGCGGAGATACTGTATGTATTTCTCATCCGCTAATCTGATGGGCGTCGCAGCCCAACACTTGCCGCCGTACTCCGGGAACGTCGCAGCATATGCTCTCTCCAAGGCACCCTCAGTGTTCTTTCTATTGGTGGTGACTTTACGACAGCATCGCCTTGCTCTATTCTGGAGAACATCCTAGCGAACTCGTCGAACTCGTCCACTATGATATGTAAAATTTAATAGAAAGTAGGAGTCGAAGTAACACACAGAGAATTTAATGTGTGGTGGAATGCCTCGCAAAGGTTACAGAGATTACCAGTTATAGAGAGCTGCTGCCCAGTGGTACAAGCAAAGACTTATGATGGTCTGTGGCATTAGAGCTTGTATGGCTCGAATCATGCCACTTTCGAAATCAAGAATCACGTGTTCAATGTTGAGGCCATCTCCGAAGAGATCGCGGCATTTCTCATCAAGTAAATACGAAAAATCCACATAAAATTGCTTAGTTTTCGCTTGTAAAAAA